GGTGTTCCGGGGTGTTCCGGGGTGTTCCGGGGTGTTCCGGTGTTCCGGTGTTCCGGTGTTCCGTGGTGTTCCCTGGAGTTCCGGTGTTCCAATGTTCCAATGTTCCGATGTTCCGGTGTTCTGGTTTTCCGGTGTTCCAGTGTTCCAATGTTCTAATGTTCCGGTGTTCTGATGTTCCGGTGTTCCGGTGTTCTGATGTTCCGGTGTTCGATGTTCCAATGTTCCAGATTTTAGTACATGCCCTTTGGCAAGGGTGGCTTCAGCTTTTTAACAACCTTGCTAATTTCTTTACTCTTCGAAACTCAAACCGAGACAAGCAGAATTCAATAAAGGGAGCTGATGTAACTGATGTGCCCAATAATGTTTTGATTTTCGAGCTCTGGGTTCATCTTTGGAGACGTGGGTTTTGACTCGAGGTAGATCGCGGATCCTGAGAAAATCTTGGGTACCGAGGTCCCAGATGCCAATATATTAATGAAGCGGAGCTCCTCCTCAAGATGCACAAGAGTGAAGCCTCATACCCAAGTAGAACATGTCAAGGCACCGGATGAAAAAAATGGTTCTCGCGTGATAGCTGATGATAAGTGTATCGCCCACAAAACTGTACTTCGCATTTGTCACAGGTTGCAACTTCTCGACAAACTGGATAATTCGACAAAAAGCTACTTCAAGTTTCTCGATAAGTAAGGGCGAAGTGGAAAGTTCGCCCTTTTTTTTCACTCTTTCCCATAAGCTTAACCAGGAGCCCATCACTGATGGGCTCCTGGCTTAACTAATACTTGCATCAGGGAACTTCGATCGGAAATCAGCTTTCAACAATTTAAAACTAAAACAACTTCGTTCAGTTGAGATCATCATCATAAGAAGAAAAGAGAATTATTTAGGATCACCCGTGGGGATACGGCCAAAGAAACTGAGCGGAGCCCCTGCTCAAGCAAGAACCGCCCCTCTATAAATCACCCCAACCTCGTTCCCAGGCCCCGTGAACGAGGTTGTAAATCACCCCTTTTACCGCCCGTCTCTATAAACCGCCCTTCTGTAAATGGCCCCTCAATAAACCGCCCTTTTATGAAACGCTCTTTATTTCAATCGCTTTAGTATAGAAATAAAAATGCACGATCTTAAAAATTAAAGGCTAGGCAAACTAACCGCCTCCCGGTTAGCTCAATTGGTTAGAGCGCCGGACTGTGTTGCGCGGGAGGTCGAGGGTTCGAGCCCCGGCCGGACCGATACTTATGGTCTTAAAATAAGTGAGGAGAATTTGCTACCTTTCTATAATCAAAAAAATGGATAGATGTTCTAGTCTTCTCGGATAAGGACAAATAAACCGTAGGCCCCGTCTCCTGCAGGGTTAGGGGTAGGAGACGTTAATTTCCCACGCACGAGATTACTGTGTAGTGGATGTCCTCCCCTGGGGTGGGATGGGTNTGAAATTCATTGTGGATTTGTTGCGTTTCTTTCCTGTAGACAAACGGCTTCTAGTTAAAATATATATATATTTTGGACTTATTTGCATTTTTTCAAAGAGCATGATTTAAAAAAACGGTGGCATAATTTGGAAAAAAGAGCATAACGTTAGCATAATTTGGCCAAAAAAAAAGCAATGCTACCAGCATAATATGCCACTTTTACTAGCATAATCTATAAATGCCTAGGAGTGGTCAAGTAACGTATGTATGTATGTATGTATGTATGTATGTATGTAAACTCCGATCTGTTCTAAGACGCGATAATCTCAGCAAGTAAAAAAAAAAAAAAATATTGAACATGTTATTTCTGGTAATTTGATTGAAAGTTTTATGTAATCTACACTTGGACTGATATGCGGTGTCCGACTGACACATGAACATCATAACATACACGCAGCCCGAGAATAGCACAATAACTTTTATTTCCTCAACTCATTTTGATGTCGAACCTCAGAAAATTCTGGATTTACATTTAATAAATTAACAATAGTACTTGTAGTTATAAAAAGTTACCTAAAACGCCTTACATACCCTTTTCCCCCCTAAGGTTTTTTGTAAATATATAAATACCAGTCTTTTGGTTTACCTTATAACCCCACAAGGAAATAAATATCCTTTGTTCCACTTCTAAATATAAAAATCGATCTTTAAATTGGCAGGTTTTTTTCGAAAACGTCCAAGTCAGCCAGAAGATTGGATCAGTTCAATAGCATTGAATCATTTGGAATATGTCAGTCCAGGAGTGTTAAGGTTAGGTCGAGGAAATGCTAGCTTCAATAGCAAAAATGATCCTATCTCCTTTCAAGTAATCAGGGTCATTATTTTTATTTCAACTTTCTTTTATGGAATCGTCGAGATAGTTTGGTAAGTTAAAAATACGCACAATAAACAACAAAATAAGCCGTGGTAAAGAAATTAGGGTTGCCTAAGATGAAGAAAACTAAAGCATATAGGTCAAAACGGGCTTGATAGATTGAGAATAAAAATTTTTCAAGATGAAAACATTATTTCTCTAAGTTTTTGGATCACCTCACTTCTTAGAGAAAGAGGTGGGAGGGGAGAAGGGCCTGGGAACTAGCTGGTCTTCGTCGAAATATTTTTAAAACGCCTTTTGTAGTCCATGTTTTTTTTTTGTCCTTAAAAACTATAAAAGTTTCCACGAATCCTTGCTTGATGTTCAAGGCGCATCATGGAAAAACGTCTTGTCCACAACTAGACCATTGATCATTCCTTGTTTGACCTTTTTCTCCAGTTTGGAAACATCACCGAGAAGTTTGAAAGAGACCATTACCTTGGAGAATCTAGGTGAGTGCGCTATTGGCTCACGAACCTCTCTGTTGAGGAAAAAAAATATATTATGACACCAAGTATTGGGGTTTGCCTGACCCGTTATTGCAGTAAACATCAAATTTGTAGTTTTAGAGATGGTAATTATGGGAAAATGATTAGGAAAACTTCATCGTCATAGCCTTAAGCATAAAAGCGCTTCGCGAATGGGTGTTCTGAGCAAACTGTACCTAAAGCGCACCAGAACGCGAGTGACCAATTAAAGTCGAGATTGGTTCGATTTTGCATCTGATTGGTTACGATAGTGGCCAATCATAAAGCGTGATATATCAGATATCATAATAAACCATGAGAAATTAGAAAGATGTATAGACCACTTTCATAAATGGCTGCCGGATTAACAGTCTTTTGTTTAAATTTAAATTTGCCTGAGTGGCCTCGCTTGAGATAATGTGTTCTTTTGAATTTTGCACCGGAGAACGAGGCCACCTAGGCAAATTTGAATTTATACAAAAGAATATTTATCCAGCAGCCATTTATGAAAGTGGTCTATTGTTATTCCCAAGACAAAAAAAATCAATCTAAGATATTCTAAAGTTCAAATTGCTACTTGAATCAAACACTTACGAGAATGCAATTTCGGAGACTGCTGCTTTACTTCCTAGAGCGTTTTCCACCTGCATGTAAAAAATAAAAATATTATAGTATAACAGAAGAAAATATGTAAATACGTGAACCTCTAAATAATTCGCTCATATTCCGTTGTATTGTGACTCTAAAGATGGGAGTTCAATCAGGCATGCGCAACGATAAACTGTTTTGCCTCTCTTTGATGCAAACGAAGGTAAAGAAGAAGCCTCTCGCATGAAAGTTGCTTCTATTCAGTCAAGTAGAATGGATTCATTTGCACAAGAATTGTTCAGCACCTACGTATATTTTTGAATGTGGGAGTTATTGGAACGCGGAAACGGCCTATTGACACAACTTCATCTCTGGGGCGGTAGGCTGCCTTCCTGTTTAATTTTGAGCACCTATGGGCTCCTGGCAACGAGAGTTGAAATCACGATGTCCTCATGTCTCGACGATGTACCAGTGTCGCAACTTAAATAGATACTCCAAAATCAGGTTTCCGAGTAAGGACTGGAACTAAATGACATATTTTTCGGTAAATAAATGAAATAAATAATTTTTTCAGCTTCAGTCCTTACTCGGAAACCTGACTTTGGAGTATATCCATCCAAGTAAAGAACGATGTGCCAGGGCTTATACGATTTCATCGCCCTACTAAGATTCTTCTCTAACTTTTAACATCAAAACAAATTGTTTCTTACCTCTTGTTTCACGCTGTTTGCGAGAATGTTGTAAGCCGCTGAATTTTCATTCGCATACCCACTATGGAAATCTTGATTCAAAACAAACGACACTTTCCTTCCTTTTCCTACAAAGACAAATGATTGTCAGAATTGAAGCTGACAAGAATACGTTGAAGAAATAAACAACTGAAAACAATTCATTTGGATACAATGAAAGATTGTCAGATACTTGTGAAAAATACTTCGGGCTGGTCTGAAATCTTTCTAGTTTCCCAGCCATCCTCTTTAAAACAACCCCGTGTGATCACCAAATTTTGTACGGTCTCAGAACGTGGTCGTGGACGGCAAGTTTTTCAAGTTTCTAATTAGACTTCAAATGATATGCCGAGGATAAAGTCTGGCGCCGTTCGAGTAGGTTTACACATCGAGCCATTTACGAATTCATTTGGAAAAATACAGGTTAATTTTTCAATCGAAGTTCTTCTCAGCGATGTCGTTGTAACTGTTCTAGATCACCAATAACACTTCTACTTTCTTCAAAGAGGGATTAAGGAAAGGTTTTACCTAAATCCGATAGCATTTGTGAATCATCGTCCGCGTAGTCCACACGTGGTACTTCATTCCGACTGGACGCTCCCACAGTGTGATGTGTTATTTTGATGGCCTGAAGTTTCCCAAGCTTCATCATCTTCTCCATAAGACTGATTCTCTTGTGGAGTTGAGGCGCCACAAACAGCTGCATACTCTCGGCCTTTTCAGCTGCACCAGACCCCGAAGCGGAAGTCTCACTGCCATGGAAACTTTCAATTGGAGGAGGACTGGGTATAACAGAACCGGAACCGGAACCGGAACCGGAACTGGTGTCACGTGTTAAGTCCAGAGGTATGCCACTCTCAAAAATGGCGTCCTCGATCTCGTGTAAATCTGTCTCTGGCTGTGCGCCTTCCTTACCAAACCCCGAACCATTTTCAGGGAGGGCGATCTCAAGACGGGTATTGCTTTCAGAACCGGAACCTTCAAAAGTAGACCCAGATGCTTCGTCATCATAAGGACCGGCAGCTGCATCAAGATGAGACTGCACCCAAGCATTCTTGATAGGCGCGAAATCACCGGAAGCGCTGCCAGAAGCAGCAGCTCTTTCTTCCGCTTGAGAGATCACCGAACGCGAATTGATTCCCCCACCGTCCCCTCCCTGCGCACCCTCAGATGAGTAACACCCATAACCGGAAGAACAACCAGAATCAGACTCTGAATCAGCAGAGGAAGTATCGAAGGGTGCGTCGTCTTCTCCGGAAGTGAGATCCTCACCGGATCCACTAGCGGTGGGAGCATCGCTCCTTTGAGTCAACTGCTCTCCTGACGTTAATTCGCTATTCGTGGCGCTGCTATCTTCGTTAGAAGCTCTTTTATACAAGTCAAGCGAAGGTACTTCAGATCTCCTGATCAAGTGGGGCTCTCTGTCGCTTCCTCTCGCGTCTGCGTCAGGTTCAGTTCTAACAACAGGCCAAAAATTAGCACCAGTAGAATCAGCACCGGAACCGGAATTAGACTCCTGTTGATCATCTGACTCGTTCTGCTGTGCGGTGTCCCCATGAGATTGATTTTCTGTTTCTCTGCTGTTTGACTCTCGAAAAAGAGGCTCTATCTGACTTTCTCCAGACCCTGACAGGCTTTGAAAGGAGCTATCATCAATGTTTTCTGATTCTTTATTGGATTTTGCAGTGCTGCCACCTAATCGTTTAAAGTCCTCAAAGTCTGCAACAACTTCCGGTATCACTTTTTGCCTGCCAGCACTACCGGAAGCGCCCTTTCCTGATGCACCCAAATCATCAAAAATGTCTTAAAAAACAAAAAAAAGAAAAAAGAAAAAAACGTTACATAACTTATTGACTGTAAAGACAGAGGCTCTCAATTGTGCTATTCTTTTCCAAATCTATTGTAGTCATGTTATCAACCAAGAAATGATCAATTAGTGTAAATCGATGCAAATTGCTGACTTCCAAGAGTATTTGTCATTATAGGGAAAAGCAGATGTAAGGCAGAGATTGAATGTGGAGTGCCTTTTCTTATGGAGGGATTGGGACTGAGTAGCCCCCTAAGGGGCAGTTTCGCGAATAAGAAATAGACTAAAATGTGTATTTTGCACTTGCTTTGAGAATTTAACACTGGTCACAGCTGTGGAATGAGAGAGATCCTGGTATAGCTCCATCTTGTAAGGGGTGGGAAAGATGAGGGAAAAGCTGCGACGACTATTCAATTGAGCCGGTGGAAACGGTAAGCTTGGATTTCAGCGGTTTTGTTTATCTAGACATCTTGCACCACATTCCCCCCAATCAGATAAAAAACATACTGTAATTTGTGACTTGATCACTCGTCTTCCAGCGCTGAAGACAATTGAACATACTTTTTTTACTCCGAGCTCTCCCTGGTTGCTTGTTTCCATTTAGTCAGTTGACTGACTGTTGTGTTCACTTTGATATTGCCTTGACGATTTTCAGTCGAAAAGCACTTTATTGACTCTTGTGATGTTTGCACTTGCAACCAATTTACCTATGTGACCAAAGTAATCTCAACCAACCTTGTCCCCAGGGCCTTTTCACCTCCAAGCAAGGGAAAAGGCTCTGGGAACGAGTTTGAATCACAAAGGCCAATCAGAGCAAAGAAGAATATCACGAGGAGCCAATAGGAACTCAAAGTAAAAACATGTAGCCAACTTCAAGCGCGGGAAAATGTACGTGACCAAGTCGAGACTACTCCTGATTGGTTCAGAACCTTGGGCGAGTCTTCTGAACCAATCAGAGAGCGAAGTGAAGCTAAATCCAGGCAATTCCATATTGCTGTCGACACCCAGCTGAAAATTCCTCTAAAAAAGAACTCGTTTGCTTAGTTAGTTGCTATAATTAGTCGGTAAAAAAAGTTATAGGTAGTTACCATCACATTGACCGCAAGAGTACGGACACACTAGAGTCATGTAGTCCTTGTAGTCAGTCATTTCACAATACTGATGTTTCGCCCATTTTCCACAAAGCTCGTAATGATCGCGGCAGTCTAGTTAGAATTAATGTTGGAACAGCGTTAGAACAGTGTTGGACCAGTGTTACAGCAATGTCGGGACAGCATTACAGCTTTAAGTTAGAAAAGTGTATAGTTAAGGGTAAGATGTTACGTTCTCATAGCTAGCTAAGGTGGGGGGAGGGAGGAATGACTGAATGAAACTCGAGCTCAGGCCTCCTCCACTTACCGTTGAAAGGCATCGCATCTGTGAAATAGAAGCTCATCACAACTGCACACACAACGAGGACCCTCATGGTCTACAAGATCAAACATCAGTGAAGATTTATCGACAACAGAAATACTTCTATATCTTTTTCAAGAAACGGGGAAGAGAAATGCTTTTGATCCTATCAGATCGCACCTTGATAATTAGAGCAGATGGCCGTCGATCGATAAAATGAAATAAGAGATCCGACTACCTTCATTATTTTTGTGAAAGCAGTGAAAACACGTTATTCTGGTCGATAATTGGTTGTTAACTTTAGTATCAACTGGAGAATAAGCTATATGCAGGTTATTTATTGTATTCCATGCGATAGTTATGCCTTTGAAAAGAAAATCAACTTGGAGATCATAACGTCATATGAATTTCCAATTTTGCTTCTTAAGTTAAACCTTGGCGCAGGGTTCAAGACTTGCGAAAAAAATGCCTTTTCATATCAAAAATGTTTTTACAAGACACGTTTTTGGGTTCTAAGACTTAGATGAAAACATGGTATCAGTTTTCCAAGACTGGTACTGAACGGAAACTGATAAACATAGTTGCTTTGGGTGCGAGTCGATGAATTATCATGTTCCTAGAGGGAAATCGAACAGCAAATGCTCAAGACTCACTTTTAAGATTTCAAAAAAAAAAAATCATTTTTTGTCAGATGCCCAGTAAAAACAGTGTGTAAACGGGATTGGGTTTTGAATGCTGCCTATTTTCAGTTACCGTCACACTAACGTTTCGTCACTGACTTAAGTATATCGAAGTAGAATTCGTATTACGCCAAAATAAAAACTATGAGAAACAGTTCGGCAGAAATACAGCTTATTCACCAACCTTCATCTGAGTATCCCTTAGCTTGATCTTTGGGAAAATGAAAGTTGTTCTTTTGAATGTCGCACCGGATTTTTGTGGTCTTATTTTCCACAAAGACAGGAACCTGCTATACCAGTCAGAGTTCTTTTGTCTAAGTTGTTTTATTTTCGTCAATAGCGCCTTGAAATGATGAAAGATTAATTTCCTCTGAGCAGGGACCAAAAAGCCACATCAGAACGAAATGACAAGAATAATGGAAAAACTTTAATCCCGTCAGTGTAAAGGAAAATTCTTTGGACAGGTATAGAGACGAACTACTTAGTGTAGTAACATTAAACTTGTCTCTAAGTTTAATTCAAACCATCTGATTAAGGCTCGTAAGAGACACTTCCGTTCATTCGCGCGAGTCCAGATCCCTCTCGTGGCTGAGTCCCTCGCGCGAATGAAGAGAAATGAGGGTAAGAATTAACGCCGAGCGAACTTTGAATATGACAGGAGGGGAAACGCGTGCACTGTAAGTACCTCCCGTTTTCCCATACAAAGCCTTAGAAAACTTTTCTGAGGCTTTGTATAGGAAAACGGGAGATACTTTCACTGCACGCGTTTTCCTTCCTGTCAGGCGGGGTGACACTGAGTTGAGTTTCCAGTTCTCGCGCGGGTCCAACTAAATTTTTCCGCTGTTTTTTTTTTTCTTGTTTTTCCCTGACTTTTGCGGCGGAGCTAAGAAGGAAAGAGGGTTGTTGTTCGCATTCTAGAATTTCATGTAAATGAATGCACGTAGGTAGAACACAGATACCACCAAACTGCTTACTTCGTAGTGTGTGCACATAAAAAAATTGCAAGATTGTGCAAGGAGAAGCGCTCTATTATTTCACTAATAGCGTAACATACTTTCGAGGTAACTTTCAATATTTTACGCAGGCTGCGGCAGATTATTTGAACGATAGAACAGCACAACCCCGGTTGTTTGCACAAGCGACGGGAGCAGGAAAGACTCAGAAAAGCTCTTAGACAACGACAGTGTCTTCGGCTCAGCGCATCTGGAAGCTACTTTATTGTCAAACCTGAAACAGTCAAATAATTAAAGAAATACTATTGTATTTCCTCAGGTATTTTTTGAGTCTCAATGGACTCGATGGGTCATTCACCTCCACATTAT